GGGGAAGTCACCCGCTGCCGAAAGCGGGGACCGGCCTCGGGATGGTCGTCTTTAGCCGTAGGTCTTAAAAGCTTTCTACGTTTCTCTGGGTTTTATCCGAAGTCGTGGGAAAAGGCTGCAAATTCCGAGGCCGGTCTCAGTTTCCGGGTAGGTAAAAGACAAAGAAAGACGCTGAAGATTTGCTTCCTGGTGACTGCGAGAGTCGCGCGGTTCTGACGATACTTTAGGCAGAACCATTACAATAAGAATTACCTTAATGTATGGCTGGGAGACTTTATAAACGGGGGGGTCTCCAAAACAAAAAAAAACAGTTATGTCGTTTGAACTTCACAAAGGGGAGGTCTGAGTTGTCGCTCTTCCCATTATACTACCACTTTTTCAATTTCCAGAGGAAGTGGCTATGCTTGTGGGATAGAGAAAACCGTGCCACGGTCTGAAGGAAAAGGTTGATTGTATCTTTTTCCTATATGAAGCTGGCAGAACATCTTTTAAACAAGCCGCTGTGTTAGAGGTTCCACCTTGCTTTGCTAGTGACTAAAAGGTCACTTTTTATTGTTTTGACTTAGGTACAGAATAAGTGGTGTGTTTCAGTCGCAGACCTAAGCGGGGCAACGAGGTTTGTTACTGATTGGTACAGGGTGCTGCCATTGTTCTGTATTTGCCTAGAACTGAGGAGTAAACGAGGGTGCAGTTTCATGGCATGAGTTGCTGCTACCAAAAGAAGCAGTGCTACCAATCTCTGCTAAGCTACCACCTCTTCTAACCTCAATAGTGTCCTCCATCTTTCCAAGCCAGCAGAAAACTGTTCTTTTTCTGATCTGATAGTTCTGCCAGGTTACTTAGCTGAACCACCTTGGAGGGAAGGGTGAAGCTTGGTGCAGATTGTAGTTTTTAGTAGCAGCAACCTATTACTAGTTTAGCTAGGCTGAAACCTAATGTTAAATTAGGTCACTTTATCTCAAGTTTCTGAATTTCAGGTGCTTGGCACATTTCCTTGTAAACCTGAATAAGTCTGAAGTTAGAAGGATAAAACTTTTTTTCTTTTTTCTTTTCATTTCTTCAGTTACTGCTGCATGTGCTATTGCCAACATTGTGAAGAGTTCTCTTGGGCCAGTTGGTCTGGATAAGATGTTGGTGGATGATATTGGGGTAAGTAAACCTTCAAGGAAGCGTCAGGAGGACTTGTATTCTTGTGTAAAAAAGTGCTCCCACCTAGTGTGCTTCGTAGGTCTAATGTGCAAATACCTGGTTTTTTCTACTGTTCTGAGAGGGGGTAGGACGACAACTGTGGTAAAATTGAGAATCAGGCAATGTATGCTACATCATTTTAGGTTAATCTAGTGCTGTAGTTTGTGGCACTGTTGTCTCGTTTCTAGATGTAAGCTCTTGTCACCGCTTACAGGTAGTGGTAAAAATCACAGGAATGAGTATCACTGTTAAAGTGAGGTTTTGTGATGGTGTTTACTTGTATATCCTGGTCTCTACATTAGGAGAAATAACAGAAAAAAACCCAATTCAAATAATACCATAAAAATTTTAAAGCAGTATTTTGTGTTTTAAAGTATTTCAAACATATGAGGAAAATTTGCCATTTTATAGGCTGCTGTAATAAAATACTGTATTAGAGGGTAGTCATTGCACTACTACTGCTAATCCGGTATGTGTAAAACATATGCTGAGTTTCTGTAAGGTAAAGACTTTCTGATAAAAAGAAAGTGCAGATTCTGCACTGGTAACGTTTCTGTTGTTGGAATGGGACTCCTGGTTAAAAAGAAGCAATAAACGTTTGTTTTAAATAGTTTTTTTATGGGCATTTGCAAAGAATAATTTCTGTTTGCATGAACATTACGAAACGCAATAGTAAATACATAATAGAAATATGCCTCATATTATCATTTGATTTCTGAAAATTAGGATGTGACCATTACTAATGATGGTGCAACCATTCTGAAACTGGTAGAAGTGGAACACCCTGCTGCTAAAGTTCTTTGTGAGCTGGCAGACTTGCAAGACAAAGAAGTTGGCGATGGGACAACCTCAGTGGTACGTAGAAAGTTTTACAGGCAGATGCACCAAAAGTCAGTGTTTCATTATCACAGTGCAGCTTTTCATTTACTTGTTGGGAATCTTGATGCAATGTGCATCAACTATACAGAATGAAAAACCTTGCAGTTGACTGAATATAAACAGGTTTTTTTGAAGTAGGTTACAGAGTAAAGAAATTAGACTTGTGGTTTTTTAGAGATGCTGGTTTCTATACACAACTGGTGCTCCAGAATGGAATTTGCTTACTGCAGTTTCATTATTCATTTTTTCCTTTCTTGAAGGTTGAGGGTGGATTCTGAATTAAGGTTCTTAATCTTTAACCACCATGAGAAGTTAAAGTGTTGGGACTAATAAGGATGCTGGGTGTTGACAGCTTGCCTGAGACTTTTGATAGCTTGGGGGTGGGAATCAGGTGGCTTTTGCCTGGTGTCAGAAACTATTTATGATTCCAGGTCGCAAGTACTTGTTTCCACTGAGTAGTAGACATTGGACAACTATTTGTGATTCTACTTTTCCACTTAGTGGCAACAGGTAGTCAATTTTACTTGTATGAAATACATGTATTCAGTATTTGTATTTCAAACAGGTAATTATTGCTGCAGAACTTCTGAAAAATGCAGATGAGCTAGTGAAACAGAAAATTCATCCTACCTCGATTATTGGTGGATACCGACTTGCTTGCAAGTAAGAAACTAATACAGTTGAAGTACATTGCATTTTTTAAGGTACAATAACTGCATGTTTTTTGTTTATTTCTGTATTTGTGACTGTGTTAATACAGACTTCTTGGTGCAAAGTGGATATAGCGTTTTGGTTTTGGGGTGTATTTTGGGCTTTTTTTGTTAGTTTGGGCTTGGCTTTTTTAATTTATTTTGAATTTCTGTAGTTTCACGTAGAAATGTCGTTTCACTGTCCTAGAAGATGAACTGATTTCACCTCTGTGTTCTTTGAGATAATATTTAGAAGGGCTGAAAACACATAAGATTTTTTGTCTGTGTGGGTTTGGAATTCTTTACCAGTATTTGTCTTTATTCTACAGGGAAGCAGTTCGCTACATCAATGAAAATCTTATTATTAACACAGATGAATTGGGCAGGGAGTGCCTAATTAATGCTGCTAAAACATCAATGTCCTCTAAAATTATAGGAATGTATCCTTTTAACGTCATCAGGTTACTTGAATGATTGGTTGGAGAGCTTGAGTAGCTAGGGTAGTTTCCTTTGCAGCAGTTTTTGTGAGCGGGGTATAGTATTCAAGCTGTTGTTTTTGTAACAGGGATATGAGAAAAGTTTCACGGATACTGTTACCTGGCATGGGAAAATGTGTTCAGACTCTTCGAATTCATTTAAACTTGGTTAGGCACATCACAATAGCTTGAACAGTGTCTTGTTTCCTGATGACATTGCTTGTTAGTGACACTAGATAAGGAATTGTGTGAATGGAAGAATGCCTTACAGAAGTTGAGTACTTGGGGAGTGAAACCAGAGGAAGGAAGATTGCATTTTACTTCGTAGACTTCAAAAAAACAGCATTTTTAGCCTTTGTGCCAACAAGGGAGTGCGTATAGGGTAGGTGTCTTTGTTGAGGAACACTTCATACCTGTCTGGAGTTCCTTTTTGGAAACAGTTTTTTACTTAGTTTGGGCACTGTCAGTGACTGTGCATTTTTTGCCTTAAGCATAATACTGTTTTTCTTCAGTTATAACCTTAACAACTTTTTAGTGATGGCGATTTCTTTGCTAATATGGTGGTGGATGCTGCACTGGCAGTTAAATACACAGACCAGAGGGGCCAGGCTCGGTATCCAATCAACTCGGTTAATGTGTTGAAGGCACACGGCCGCAGCCAGAAAGAGAGCATGCTTGTGAACGGTTATGCACTGAACTGCGTGGTGTGCTCCCAGGGTAAGAACATGCTGTGTTTCATAAGGCTTTTGTGTGATCTCAGTCCTCCTGGTCTTTCTGCATGGATCTTCTTACAGACTGCATTAGTTGCATATCAAGTGAGTTTTCAATTCCAGAACACTTAAACAAGAATGCAGGAAAAATTTAGCACTTCACCAGTGGTTTCTAGGCTAAGGTCTGGCACTGAGCAGTGATCCACAAGGCGTTGGTAGGTTACTGTAGTTTCCCTAGCTCAGTGTCAGCGTTGGTAACACTGGGATCTGCTGGAACATAGGCACCTCCCTTGTGAGGAGCCAGTGTCAGGTTTGTAGGGAGCTGTTACATTTAGCAGAGCTGTGTTGTGATTAGGTAGCCTAAAGGATGCAAGACTGAAGAGTCAGCTTTTCATGGTCATTCACATTTTGGGGATGGGGTCTGTAAAATGGGGAAGAGAGGTTATAGTAGTGACGGTTTTTTAAAAATAAATTCTCTCTGAAAGTCTTCGTTAGCAATTTTCTGTACTAGGGCAGAACTGGAGGCGGAGAAGCAAACCGAATAGAAACCTGAAACATGAAAGTAGTGTTAGTTTTGATCTCTAATGCTGACTTGATGCCCTGTTAACTCAATTTAACAGAATGCTATTTCTTGTTCTCTGTCGTCAGCTATGACCAAGAGAATAGTTAATGCGAAGATTGCATGCCTTGACTTCAGCCTGCAGAAAGCAAAAATGAAGCTTGGTGTTCAGGTTGTTATCTCGGACCCTGAGAAGCTGGACCAGATAAGGCAGAGGTGTGTGTAAGCTCGCATGACTGAGGTGGTGGGGTTTCACAGGCTGGCTTTGGTCTCTTCAGTCAGGTTGCTCAATGTAATTTTGGATGAGCGCAAGAGGTAAAAATGTTTTAAATGCTAACATTTCCCAGTAATACCAAAAATTAATCGTAAAAGTCTTCACATTGGAAGGTAAAATTTATTTTAAGTCAGTTTTCAAGAAATCCAAGTATGTTTGTGCAATGGTTCCTTCTCCTTGTGAAGCTCTGCCTTAAGATTTCGGGAAGTGGTTGACAGAATGTGATTGCAGATTAAAAGCATTTTTTACAACTTTGACTTTATCCTTTCAGAGAATCTGACATAACCAAAGAAAGGATCCAGAAGATTTTGGCCACTGGTGCCAATGTTATTCTCAGCACTGGAGGTATTGATGATATGTGTCTGAAATACTTCATTGATGCTGGTGCTATGGCAGTACGAAGAGTTGTAAAAAAGGACCTTAAGCGGATTGCTAAGGCATCCGGAGGTATGTGTATATAAAAATATCTCTTAAGTAAAAGCTGTCGTTAGGATATTAGTAACTAATTTTCAAAACATGGCTTCTTAACATGCGAGCCATGCAAGGAGAGGATGAGTAGAGCTGAGCCGCTCGTTAGGTTTTAACTTTAGTGTTACCTTTAAGTGATCGTTCTGTCAAAGTAGATGAGTACTGTAAGAGCTGACTGCTGAAGATTTACAATAGGGGAAAAAAATGCTGCCTTGCACTGGGAAGATGTCTTCTTGTGGAAATGGGAGCTAGAATCTGTATTTATTTTGGAGTCTTTATTAAGCATACATTTATAAGCCTCTGTTTGGAGAGTTAAGTGCCTTTTTTAGATTGTTCGAGACAAATGAAGAAGTCCTAAATCATTAAACATATATTAAATAATATTAAACACATATTAAATAATACGGTCCTATGCAGATTTTATCTGCTAGTTCTTAATTGTCATTTTGGTGAAGCACAGGAACTTGTACTAGCTGTTGAAAAGTAAGTGCTGTAAAAGTTGAGCAAAAAGAGCAGCATCAGTTACAAACTGCGGAATTCTGAATTGCTACCCGACAATTGGAAGTGCCATTGAATTTAAGAAAAATATACTTACAGTGCTTGTATTTCTGTTTTTCTTACTGTATGCCTGTTCTGGGAAGTTGGAAAAGCATGTGCTGGAATTGAATGCTAACTTTACTTTTTTGTTTGTTTGTTAAAGCAACCATATGTTCAACCCTTGCAAACCTTGAAGGTGAGGAGAGTTTTGAGGCATTAATGCTTGGACAGGCAGAAGAGGTGGTTCAAGAGAGAATCTGTGATGATGAGCTGATTTTAATCAAGAAGTAAGGATCCTTTTTAAAATACTCAGTTCTATGTACGCTTTCTACTAAGTTTGAGATCAAACAGCATTTATGTACTTCCATGCTGTCTTGGTGGTACAAGTAGTTACGTGCGTGGGAAAGAGTATACAAAAGTCAACTGCACATCAGCGGAGAAACCTGTCGGTATTTAACTTCTGCTGTGGCTGGATGCCTGTCTCATTAGCTATAATGTATGACACAACCAGATTTCTAGATATACTTAAAATTTTGTTTATAAACAAATTTTTCTAACATTTACAGTACAATTGTGAGAGACATTATTGCAGCATTCACATCATGTTCCTTTACCTGGCTTTTAGCAGTGTAGTCACACTGGCTTCCCTTTAGAGACAGTAAAAGGAAATGGGTGCCATCTGAGCAATTTCATCTGCATGAGGAGGTGCAATTAAATCCTACCCTTTATAGTGCAAGACAGCGTTTGCTTGTGCTGGTTTCATTGACTCTGTCATCTGCTTGGTACTATGAAATGAACCACATGGTTGAAAGGGTATTCTAGGGTTTTTTAATGGCTAAGAGGAGGAACAATTATTAGCTGTACACACACATGGTGTTTTCCCTTGAAGTTTGTGGTATGCCACTGCTGCCTGGTACCTGAAGACTTGAGTATCAGTTTGACAGGAATATGCCTTGGGTATTAACTCTTCCACTGCTTCAATATCCCTTCTCACTGTTCAGCTTCCCGTAGTCTCATTTGCACGTGACTGAAATACTCTGACCATGGCACTTGTGTGGCAGTTACATGACTGATTATACTGTAATGTTGGCAGTCGTTAGCTCGCTTGATGGCTATAGAAAAAGAGAACTTTCCTGCTATCTAATTACACTTTCCCCTTATTTGATGGGAAAACATCCTTGTCAAGTATACTTTTGCCAGGTAGCTTTCTCTGAAAGACTAAAATCAAACTAGGTTCTTGCATATTAGAACTTAAATATTGACTTACGAAGTCACAATGTACACATCATGCAAGGGTGTATAACAATCGGATCTTCTGTTAAACGTTGAAAGAATCTGGCTTAACTGAACTTGGCTTTAGAAGAAAATTTTCAGCAAGAAGAGTTTTAATTTATGTTCTGTTCAGCACAGCTGACTTCCAGTTTTTTTTCCCTAGCACAAAGGCTCGTACTTCAGCATCAATTATCTTACGAGGAGCTAACGACTTCATGTGTGATGAAATGGAACGATCCATACATGATGCTCTCTGTGTTGTTAAAAGGGTGTTGGAATCCAAGTCTGTTGTCCCGGGTGGTGGTGCTGTAGAGGCAGCACTTTCAATATATCTTGAAAATTACGCAACCAGCATGGTAAGTCTTGCATGAAGAAGTAACAGTGTGTACGTGTAAACTAGGATAATGCGAATTTTCGAGCATTTGTTTCCTTCCACTAGAAGTCGGTTCCGTGGTTCGTGAAAACCTAATTGTCTTACAGAATGCAAGATGCTTCTTCAAAATGGAGGATATGAGTTTCTCTGATAACTAGACTATATGGTTCTGTGGCCTAAAAATCCGTTTTGTATGTGAAAACCACTGCCTACCATTGACACTCATGATCATGGCTGGTTTTTTCCTCTTTTGTTGCAGCAGTTAGTTTAAAAACTTTCTTCTTGTTCTAGGGATCACGTGAACAACTTGCAATAGCAGAATTTGCAAGATCGCTCTTAGTAATTCCAAATACATTGGCAGTAAATGCGGCGCAGGATGCGACAGATCTCGTTGCGAAGTTGAGAGCGTTCCACAACGAGGCGCAAGTTAACCCAGATCGCAAAAATCTGAAATGGCAAGTACCTGGCTGCAGGAAGGGTGTGAACAGTGAAGTGGGTGGGTGACTGCCATGAAAAATTGTTCTGCCACTTTTCTGAACCGTGATTTGCATGTGAAGAAAGGGTGTAGGGTATCACTGAACTTTCCTCCCTCTGTCCTTCAGTCGTATTTGTGTCACTGAGACCTAGCAGCAGTCACACAGCATACTCCAACTTCATTTCTACCTTTTCTATCTCTCCATCTGACAGTATGTCTTCTTTTCAGGATTGGTCTTGACTTGATCAATGGAAAGCCTCGCGATAACAAGCAAGCCGGAGTCTTTGAACCAACCATGGTCAAAACTAAGAGCCTGAAGTTTGCAACAGAAGCTGCCATTACTATTCTTCGAATTGATGATCTCATCAAACTGCACCCTGAAACTAAAGAGGAGGGTGGGTGCTATGAGGATGCAGTTCGCTCTGGAGCACTTGAAGAATAACTTGGGTTTTATTTATGTTTGTCTAATGTACACTTCCCACTCTTGTAACTAAAATGTCAATAAAACAAGTGGTTGAATGCTGCTGCAATTTTATTGTGAACAAATTAATTTTTGAAAGTGAGATTGGTCCATGTGTTAAGAATTTCAGCTCGCGTGTAACAACTAGAGTGCCCACAGTAGCTGCTGATCCTGTTGTCAAGGCAATGATTTGAGTGGCAAAAAGCAACAGAGTAAGTTTACTTTAATTTTAGGCAAAACAAGTATAAGCTCTATTATTAGAAGATTACTAATAAACTGTTTCAAAGCTAGTTAGCACTAGCTCTGCATTCATTCCCATTCATCTCTCAACGCACATGGCTATTCCCATTCCTCCTCCAATGCAGAGAGCAGCAATGCCGCGCTTTCCCCCTGTTCGTTCCAGTGCATACAGGAGAGTAACAAGGATGCGGCAACCAGAGGCGCCGAGAGGGTGGCCGAGGGCAATAGCTCCTCCTTGGACATTGATCTGAAAAAAGCCAAGGCAGAAGGTCAAGTTAAAACATCAGTGAGATGGCTTAGCTGAGTTTCAATGCGAATGGCATCACTGGATGCAGTCCCTGAGCGTGAGCAAGCCTGAAACGGCTGCCACCGTGTCAAGGAGACACTGAACACAGATGTAACAGCGGCTGCAGTTCTGGAAGAGGCCCATCTCTGAGGATTCTTCAGGTGATAACTGAGGTGAATTTAGGGAGGGCGGAGTAGTACCTGCACTTGTTGCCATTGCTGGAAGCAGACAGTGGCAGATACCCTTCCAGCAGCAAGTTCAAATTCTGAAGTGAACTGCAAGTATGCTCAAGCAGTTACCCCAATTTGCATACAAATCCACTAATAAATCTGCCTGCTAGCAAAGCAAGGGCACAGCAGAGTGGCATAGGGACAGGCCTCGTGTGGTTCCCATCCTTGTCGCTTACGGCTAAGTGGTGGCCAGAGGACTGCTCTCACCTCTTCGCAACACAATCCAGATGCGCACAAGGGGACAACTTTGAATTACAGGAGGCAAACTGATTGCGGCCTCCAATATATTCATTACCTTTTCTGGCTTTACTTTCAGTTCTTTTGCTATTGCAACAGACAGCGATGCATATGCTTCATTAATTTCAAACAAGTCAACTTGGTCCAGAGTCCAGCTGGCTTTCTCAATCTGAGAACACAAAATACAGTAGAAGCTTTATTATCTTTTAGCTTTTCCTCAGCACCAGAGGAAGTTTTTCATATGACTTAAATCGGGTGATACAAAGCCACCACTTCTAAAACATTCACAAAAATAAATTGGGTTTTTTTATATAGCCAGGGTGAATCTCCGAGTTCTTGAAGACAACAGAAAACGTCAGTGTCAGCAAAAGTCAGTGCAATGTGCTATAACCTGCTGGCTGCTCTTAAGAAAATGACTAACTTTATCAAAAGTAGGTTTTAACAGATTAAAAGCACATTTTTCAGGACCTAAGTCTGATTTGATTAGGAATTCTCTGCTTAATACAGATTTTACCCAGGAAATAGTGAAATGACCATTAGTGATGGGCAACAAGCGTGATTTTACCAGTCCCTCCTGCCTTTATGTTGGAAGTTGGCACTTCAGGCTTTCCACAGGTGCCTAGTTTGGAAGATGGTTTGGCTCATGTTTTCACTTGAGAAACTCTTGTGGTGCAGTTGCCCACTTGGGTACAGGCTGAGGCATGTTTCACACATTTACATTTTGAATTCCACTCACTTTGTTTCTCACAGCAGTACTTTATCAGCATGATCGCCTGCAGCAACAGGGTTTCACAACCAGCTAGCCAGGCTGGCCCACCTCCAAGGCTACAGTCAAGGAGGAGGGCCTCTCTTCTACACGGACACTATAGAATCTGTTCGCCTTCTGGGAAAAGCCTTATGTTTAAAATTTACTATGCAACCCTAAAATGCACTGCCTAGCCCTTCTCTCACTATAAAGTGTTAAGAGATAAACTGATGGAGGGTGTGAAGTGTTTGATAACACACATTACAAGGTTTACATTAAGAAGTAGTGTGCCCTTTTTCTGAGTAGCTACAGAATTATATGTGCTGTTAAATACAGCTTGTCTGTTCTACAATTTAAAGTAAATATGTGCATTGTATGTACATTTATAGCACTCTTGATTTAGAAGAGCAGTTTGAGATCCGATAAGAAAAAGCTTCAGCATTACAGTCCTGATTTTCCCGTTAAAGCCACAGAGCTCGGGTGAGTTCAAGTTAGGCTTCTACACTGCCAGCACCTTTCAGAAACGAACAAAATAAGGCCTTTACACAGTATAAATAAAAACCAAGAAGGAATAAAAGCAAACCTATCCTTATCAGCTGTACAAGAGCTCTTTTCATGTGCAGCTTCATGGCTCAGTATTAGCAAGCAATCAGCTGGGGTTGCCATGGGCCACATCTGTGTGAGCAAGCTGTGTGGTACCACAGGGGCTGCTCACTCCAGACGCTTTATTTGAGCATCTTGCCCTGTGGATGGAACACAGAGCGCATCCAGTAACGTCCAGTAATGGCCCGAGCACGTTAGATGTGGTTCTGGAGTGCACCTTCTTGTTGGGTTTCATCTGGAAGGAACTCAATCTGCGTGCTCTGACCCTTTCCGCAGGGCAAACCAGAACACGAAGGGCACCACCAGGTTTGCTAATGCAGGTGCACTCACTGGCCCCTCTCTCAGCGTTGTACTCTTGTAAATACCATCAGGCAGCAATCTGAAAATTAACGTGGGCAGACACAGCATGGGAACCACATGGTGGCAGGATCAAACCATCCCCAAATGAGCTGAGCACACACATCCATGAAATCTGATCTTTAGCCTCATCTCTTCAGCTGGTCATCTAGGTAGCCCTTCACAAACCTGACGAGGTTATGTACACATCTATACGTTTTTTTCCTTCCCCCAATGAGTAGGCACTAGCCTGGTAGCACTACAAATCTTAATTTTATATACTCTCCACTATTTGAAGTCTTGTTTTCACTTAGTTTATTTTTTCTACTAAGTTTTCCTTCGAATATAGGAAAACCACGGCCAGAAAATGAAAAGCGATTACAAGCAAGGGTTTTTAAATAATAGATACAAAGATAGATAGACAGATAATTACTTACAGCTTGCTTTATCGCTGAAATGGGCCCTACTCCCATTATAGATGGCTCTATACCTGTCTGAGCCCAAGATACAATGTGAGCCAAAGGTGTAAGACCTCTCCTAGCAGCTTCCGATTTCTTCATCACAATTACAGCTGCAGCTCCATCACCTAGACCTGTGGAATGACAAACATCATGTATGTATTTGTCGGGTTTTATGGCTTTTACTGTATCACCTCTTCCGGCTTGCCTAAGTTCACAATCTAGACAAAACAATCACAAATCTTTTACTGGTTTAGGTCAATCTTTTTTTTCTGATCAGCCAAGTCTGACCTCTGGCACAAACACTTCAAATGGGTGACATATCTATACCGCTGTAAATGGGACACGTTTGTGATTTCTATTAAGAAAGCAGGAGGTGGAAGAGCTGAGGCATGATCTGAAAAAAGAGCACATTAGATTTATTATGCAGACTTTGGAAGAGGTAGCATAAGGACCATGGAAGTAGTTTCAAAGCTGCCTGTAGCAGGAGAGTTAGTCCCACAGAAGTAACATTTTCAAACATGAATTGTCAAGTTTTCCTCCGTTCAGACCTGAAGTATTAGAAACCACTAGACAGCTAGTTTTAAAAAGAGAGTATGTAGTTTCTCTTTGTTCCAGCCTATCAAATATTGCTGTTACTGTCCAAACACTTGTATCGCTTCACAGAAAGCAAGCAAACAAAAGACAACTGATCTGTGAAGAAATCCTCCACCACAGTTCTATTCCAGTTCCGCCCATGTTGTCAAACACATTCCATTTGCTGCAAAATACATTCAGCAGTAACCGCCCGGCAGCCAACGCTTTGCAGAGACCCTGCCTTGCGCCACAAGCAGCTGCTGTTCTTCTCCGCTTCGGTTTTAGCCAGACGGACCAACCTGAAGCATTCGCGGCTGTTACTGTGCCAGTTCCGTCTGTCAGGAAACACGGCTTTAACTTTGCCACTGCTTCCAAGTTGCTCCCATGTCGAGGGTGTTCATCTGTTTTCACTTCTATCGAACCTGAAAAACAGAGCGCTGCACTCACAGGAGGGTCTCACTGCATGCGCCTGTCTCGAACAGAAACGTGGCACAAACAGCAGGCTGATTGGAAATACATGCCATACTGCTTTTAACCAACAAGCCACACTGTAGGAGACAGCTTCCAGCTCAGTGCAATTCATTAAAGCTCCCTCCAGCTGCTGCTAGCAGGACAGACAGCTGGGTTTTCCGAGACAAACACTAACAACTAAAATACTGTCTAGCTACCCCTAACAGACCTAAAGAGAAACATCGATAATATATGTAACAAGACCTAGTTAATTAACCAGTAACCTTAATTATTGTCACTGCGTATTTTACTAGGTGGGCAACGTTTGCCAGATCAACATGAGTGTTTTACATTTGGTGCAGTAGTAACCTAACGAAACAAAAATACTGATCTTGGTACCGTATCCAAGCCTCTGTTATGTTAGCGGTTTGCCTGGGTAGTAACTACATCTTCAGTAAAACAGATAGTAGCAGTATTTGCAGGGCACTGCATTTAGATATTCCACATTGCATTGCTTCTCTCTTTGTTCAAAAAAATAACCACTAGAAGTTGAAAAAGAGAGCAACAGGCTACATGCTTACAGAACAGCTTACAGCAAAGGCTGTATAATGGGAAAACTGTTCACTGATGATAGCAGAAAACAGATTTTTCTTTAAAGTCAGCTCTCGTTATCCATTCACACCTACCTTTTTTAGAAGGTACAAGAATAGGAACAATTTCTTTTGTGAAATAGCCAGCTTTCTGTGCTGCCTCTGCCCTGTTTTGTGACTCTACAGCAAGTTGGTCTTGTTCCCCTCTGCTGACTTGCCACTGCTTGGCCACATTTTCAGCTGAAATAGGAACAAAATGCAAATCACCATCAGTAAATGCTAAAATTCTAAGTTGTAAAATTGCAAGCACAAAGGTAGCCATTAATGTTTGCTGTAGCAAGCAGCTAAACTTGTTGAAAAGTTCTCATTCCGATTTCTTCATTTTGTTCGCTCGTGATTCTCCATTTTCTTTTGAGGGTGAAAATTTCTGTGCGGGATCTCCTCCCAAATGGTATATCCAATTAAAGACAAGTGCAAGAACGCTTTTCTAGTTTATTTGTTCTCTGGATTATTATGCTCAGATCTCTCGACTGCTGCTTCAGACAGATGAGGGAACAGTTCTGAAGTCACTCTGCTTCATCAGCAGGGACTGAAAAAGCAGTTGGCTGATGATCCCATCCAGGGTGCAACAACCTGAAGCTACAGAATCATGTGTGTCCACAGCACACTTTGCGAAATTCCCCCCCACTGTAAATCTGTACTGCCGAATGCTCCAGTTACACACAGGGAGTAGCTTGTTTATTTCTCCTGAAATTTCATTAAATTGCTCAGATGCAAAAGAGATGCAGTGGGATAAGGTGCCAAGAGGCACAAGCCAGGGAATACAAAAAACGTGCTTTTACAGAGGCATGAATTTATTAGCTCAGATAAACAACCTGGTAGTTTTACAAACAAAGCAGAAAATGCCTTCAATGCCTTTCAATATCGGGGATTTCTTTCTCTTTCACAACTACAGCTTAAGGACAGCTTGGAACACCTTATGTGAAACTTCAGATTTCTGCAATTTCCTGTCAGTGAATTCTTCCCCGCTTCCCAGTTAACTGTTTCATTTTCTGGACTGTCACCACTTACCTGTGATACCCATATGATACTGGTAAAAAGCATCTGTAAGGCCATCGAGGATTATAGTGTCCTGCAAGGAAGCCTCTCCCATTCTCACCCCAGCTCGCATGTGAATGACATGAGGAGCCTGCAAGAAGGTATTTCAGAAGGAGTCAGATGTTTTCTATCTCCAGCACGCAATACAGACAGACAGCTGAAGAGACAGACCCCTGCCGTGCGGCTGCAGGTGGCTACCCCAAATCCCAGCAGTCTCTCCGCGGCCTGCCCCATCTCTCCCTCGGTGTCTGCCCACTGGCATGCTCAGTCTGGCCATGCATTTCCCCGGCAGCAGATCACCAAAAGCAGCAAGTGTTTTCCCTCCACAGATCGAATTGCTCATCCCTGGGGCCATATGGCCGTTGGTCCCCCATCCTACCAGTCTGCTCCAGGTGGTTCCCAATCGCACTTTGCTGCCAGTGAACACCAACATCACTCTCGGCACGGGCAGCTAGCGAGCCCCAGCAGCAGAGGCCACCCCTTGTTAGGATTCAGATCAACGGCCCAGCGCCATTCCTCAGTACAGTCTGGGGCTGACACCTCAAAATAAAAGTGCTTCGCTTCCTGTCCAAGCTCAAAGTGCTTGGTGAACAACAACGTTTCCAGTTATTCCTTCTTTGGGCTTCTTGCAACACAAAAAATTTGCCTATTGCCAGCTGTCACAAGCAAATAATTCACCATAACAGGGCTAGATGGAAATTAAAGTGGAATTTTAAATGTGGTGTGTGTTTGTATGGCACCTTTTCAGTAGCTACAGTATCAGGTCTTTTTTTTCTTTGCTTTTTTTAACATAAAAAGCTACTGAAGTGAATTGTTGCTTGTGTAAATACAATCCCAAGTGCAGAAACTGAAGCTACTCTCTCAATCTGCCTCCAGGACATCAGCCTAGAAGCACAGGGTTTCCACACGACTTAATGCTGTTTGCTCCCAGTGAGTCAGCACAGTGCGAGTGTTTGCTTTACCTTGCTCATACTCTCCATGCCTCCCGCGACCACGATGGTGGAGTCTCCCATCAGTATGGACTGAGCAGCCAGACACACTGCCTTCAAGCCTGACCCGCAGATCATCTGGCAGCACCAGGCGGGCACAGAGTACGGGATTCCCGCAGCAACACTCGCCTGCCGAACGGGGTTCTGGCCGGCACCTGCAGGAACAGGCAGCATTTTTCCTTCATCTGCTCTTAAGAAACAAACGCCGGCCTTGTCACTTTTCACAACAGGTACCCCGATTCCACCAAAATTTAGAGCTCGCCCCTGTTTTCAGCTGGTAGCTAGAGAAGCTCCCAACGGTAATCTGTGAACAGGAGCTCAGTTACCTCTCATTTATATTAATGATCAACAAAATATCTGCAAGGTATCAGTAGCAAGACTACTTGCTACTGATAGTTTTAAATCTGCATCTCTGCTTTTGACTGCAGGGCAGACGACATGCCACCTATTCAACTGCAAATCAGCACTAGCCTGTTGTACATGATTGTGAGATGAGAATTCATTTAAATTGCTGCTCGAGGAAGGGCTTCTTTTTGACATCTCCTGTGCATCAGGAACAGACAACTTTCCCTTAAGGTTCGTATGGAAACCAAAAGAACAATGACGCAGGGACAGTCCCGGAAGCTTCCGTTCTTCGCTGTAATCCTGATGGAGAGAACGGGAATGCCATACTCAAAGGAAGCCTTCTTCACCTCCGTCTCCCCAGGCCAAAGTAATGCCAGCTCTTTGTATGCAAAGAAACGGGTAAGGAGAGCACATCACTCAGCGAGCCAAAAACACGCAGGAATCTGGATCACCTTTCAGCAAGATCAGAATACTTGTTTCCTTTATTTTTCTCCTCCATCGTTAAAACACAAACCTGCCCTATGACTCTGCCGATTAAACTTTGCCCTGGAAGAAGCAGGGGACCGTTCAAAACAAACAATTCCCTCTCAGCCGCCTCGCCGTTAAACCAAGACACGCAAACGCAGGCCTCGCCCTGAAAAACCTCAGAGCTACCGTTATTTATGATGCTAAAATCACGGGAAGGGACGGCCACCGCGGGAGAAGGGACGCTGCGGCAAAGGAAAGAAACCGACGTTCACAGGCACGCTGCCGGCTGCTTCGGGGATTTAAAAAACACCGCGAGCCCAAGCAACACCCCTCCCTTGCCCCCCAAGACAAACCACAAGCCCAGG